TTCAAGGCACAGAACCTGTTACTCTTGAGCTTCCTGGATTTCATATAGTGGAGACACTCATAAGCAGAGATAAAATTGTCAGTAATGAGACGCCCTGGAACAAATGCTGACTGTTCCTCGGAGATGATATCGGGGAGAATAAGTTTGAGTCGATTAGCCAACACCTTTGATGCAATCTTAAAGATCACATTGCAGAGGCTTATCGGTCGAAACTGTGCCAAATTTTTCGGGCTAGCAATCTTGGGTATTAGAACGATGAACGTCTTGTTTATCTCCTCCGGAGAATCTTCTCCAGTAAGAACTCGAAGCACCATCTCAGTAACCTCATCACCACAGAGCTCCCAGTGTCTCTGAAAGAAATGTGCCGGGAAACCGTCTGGCCCTGGGGCCTTTGTCGGAAACATCTGGAACAAAGCCTCTTTCACCTCTGTCTTACTATACTGTGCCTCCAGAGTTATGTTCATAGGTGCATCTACCCTGGTCGGTATATGGGAAAGGACCTCCTCAATGCCAACCGTGGGTTCAGAGGCGTAAAGATTACTATAAAAAGAGGTAGCCATGCCAGCCATCTCATGCTCCTCCTTACACATGGTTCCATCGGGTCGCTGCAGCTCAACAATCCGGTTCTTTGCCTTCCGGGCGCTAGCTTTGCGATGAAAAAAATTTGTGTTACTGTCTCCTTCTGCTAACCACTGAATACGCGCCCTCTGACGCCACATAATCTCCTCCCGTAAACAGAGCTCGACCATACGGGCTTCGACCCTGTCTTCCTCAGCTGACGGCCCCACGCGGCCAGGTAGTAAACGCAGCTCCTCCAAATGTGTGCGGAGATGACGCAGTTCAGATCGCACCGCGCCAAAAGACGCTCGGCCCCAGCTCTGTAACTTCTCAGCCACCACAGTCAGCTTATGGGAGAGCGCAGGAACACTCTGGGCCCGCCCCGCATTATTCCAGGCATCGAGTACCACCCCTCCAAAACTTGGGTCTCTTTCCCACATGCATTCATAACGGAACTGTTTTTGTTTTGCGCGGATACTTGTATCAATCAGCTCGGTCTCCAGAAGAATTGGGCAGTGATCCGACTTTGCAGCTGTGAGGTGTTCGACATATGCGAAGGGAAACAGAGCAGACCAACACGGTGAGGCCAGAACTCTATCCAAGCGAACGCGACAGTAGCTCCCTCCGGCAACCTTCTTCTCCCACGTCCAATCCAGACCCCGATACCCCAGGTCGGCTAGGCCGCAGATATCAATGGCTTCTCTGAACGCATCAATCTGCGAGCTATCACGATCATTTGGTCCATGCTGCTCTTCGGGCCGCAATATCTCATTAAAGTCCCCAATGCACATCCATGGGAGTGTACTCTCTCCCCTCAACCGCTTCATAGTGTTCCAAGTTTTATACCGAAGGCTCCTGGTAGCTTCACCATAGAAACACGTCAATCTCCATTGCTCCTTACCCGGTTCAGTGACCCAGGCATCCACGTGATACTCCGAATAGTTCTTTATTGAAACATCCAGAGAGTTTTTCCAAAAAATACAAAGACCTCCACTACGACCACGACTACCGACACCAAAGCTGAAATCATACCCTAACGACGTACGTAAACCTTCGACACGACCCTTCTGTAACTGGGTTTCAACTAAACACAAGATAGAAGGCGAACTGATCTCCACGAGATCACGTAATTCACGAACTGTCACGGGATCGCCTATCCCACGACAGTTCCAGCATAAAATTTTCATTGGGCCTGGCGGCGCCCCGAGTCGGAGCCCGCCAATAACGCCATCTTGTCTGGGTTTTGCTTCACTGGTGATGCTGATTTCTTCGCTTTCTTTGCATCTCGAGGGGACACATATGTTGGTGGTGGTGGGGGTACCGCCATGAATGCCAGGCCTAGGTCCGGGCCGACCCCGCATCCGGTTTCAGAGCCCTTAGTTGCATCCTTTTGCTGCAAGTGACTATCTAGGTTGTTACCAACCAAAGCAAAATTCAGGTTTCTGCGAGCCCCCTGTCCTCCTACATACTCCGTCTCCGTAGTGGCAGCCGGCTTCAGTGGACTAGTCACCTCATCTTCCTCTCCATCTTCGGCTCTCGGATCCAGCCCAGCCTCCTGAGACGAGCGCTTGCGCACAGGTGAAGTTTGCCGAGGCGGTGGTGCACTCCTTCCTGATCTACCTCTTCCCCAGCCTCCAAAGCGACCACCCCGTGAGGCTCGGCCTCCTCCTTGCTGCTCCTGTACTGTCTCCCGTCTCTGTGCCAGCATCCAGCTTCCCCATTGCTTGTCCTTGGCCTCCCAAACTCCATCTCCACACTCCTCATGATTATGACCCATGAGTCCACAAATTTGGCAGAAGTACGGTATCTTCTCGTACTTGACAGGGAGGAGTCTCCTGCCCTCGCCCACCACGTTCAATGGAATAACCCTCGTAAGTGGTTTGTCCACCAGAACCCTAGCTCGAATTCGGACGTAGTTACCTTCATAGAAGAACCTTGGAGATAGTTGTGTTTCCTTCACCCGACCGATCCGCCTAGCTAGCTGATCAACAATTTCAAGTTTCCGGTAGAGCTCCGGTATATTGTGTATTTGTGCCCAGACAAACAGGCCATCGAAGCTGACGGATTCCGGATCTTGCTTACCATCATAATCTTCGATCAGCACCCCCATCCCTCTGAACAACCACGGACCACCATGGACAACTTTCTTCCAATCGCCCAGGCAAAACATCTGAAAGATAAATAGGTTTTCCCCTGCCTCCCTATACTGCGGCACATGTGGTAGGCTCCAGATCGATTTCATGGTCTCAAACATAGCGGATGCGCTGAAGATCCGGGTCGTGTTTACCTTCGCGATCGTTAGCCATCTCGCATCTGCTGCATACTTCTTAGATTCCTCCACCCCCACGATCACGTCGTCTAGTTCATCGTCCTTGAGATCCAAGTGTTGCAGCATCTCCTCCAACTTCTTCCCGGACCAGCCCTCCGAGGACGATCCTGCTCCTGTCGCCATGCTTCACACTCGCGCGCCGGTGCGAGGAAAGGCGTCCGGCGATCGGCCGGAGGAAAAGCTCTAGACGGCGGCGCAGTCGCCGCCAGAGACGATAAACCCTAAACTAGAGGGTAGAAAAAAGGTCATAAAGTATAACTCGAAATAATATGGCTTTTGTAGGAGTCGAGGCAGATAGATTGGCATCAGGAGTCGAGGCGAAGATATGGGCCAGAAAACCAAATATCAGCCCAGTTAACCACAGTGGGCCAAAAAAGCTACGGGAATAGCTGCCTTTAGGACAGCCAGCCCACCTCGCGAAAAAAATCATGTTGACAGAAGATCTAACGGCCAGGAACGTTTAGCACATGAAATCGAACGGCTAGAAATGCTAATGGCCTGAGAGGGCTGAAAGGGTGCTCAGTTTTAATATATCTAAATGGTTTATCAAGCTGTAGGAGCAATAAAAGGGAGCTTAGATGCAATGCCAACTGGAGATTGAGTTTACCATAAAAGCCCGTGTATTGCAAGACCTTATTCACTTCAATTTTCCTCCAGAGAAGCAAGCATTCATGATGCTAGTGGAGATGTCATGAAAGAATCAGATGATACCATTGAAATGCGAAAAATGTTAACCTGGTTAATTTCGTCTCTGGCATTAATAACCCTATACTGTTGCAACCCATAAGTCGGGGTATGATAAGTTAGTACTTCATAATGCATAGTATCGTATACTAGTACCTCCATAATACATAGTATCGTATACTAGTATCTTAGATGACATTATTTATCGTCATGCATGAGATAACATTTATTATGATTTATTATGATATGGTATCATGATATGATATCCATCCCTCTTTATTTTCATTTAATTCTATGTCATCTCATCAAAATTGTCTAGTTGGCATACATGATACTAGCTACGATACTTTCATTACAGACAGCCTTAACCAACAATCGATGCCTTTATTTGTGCTCTGAGCCAAAGGTAGAAGTCCAAAATGCAGAAATCCTTCTTTTGCATTTCTTGGGTTCGATTTTTTTGCAAATTATTAGTAATACTTTTAACAGATCCTGAATCGCCTGGCAACAATATTTTTTGTTGATTTGGATGACAAGTTCTGCAAACTTATGATAATTAATTAATGACTTTTTCACCCTCATCATTTAACGTTGGTCCACGTATCACCAATGGTACCTAAAGCTGGAGCCTGGAAGAAAAGTCATCTCATGTTCATATTTTTATCTCAATTATTACTGTACAAGTCCGGCTGCTAATTGTGGCAAACTGCTTCAGTGACTATGTGCAAAGAAAATGTTGGTCTTAGCTAGACATGCTTGGGAAGAGCTAACAAACATTAGACCGCTCAGGTGTGCAGCGGCTTACAGGAGGGAAAGTGGGAAAGCTAATGGACTAGAGAGACAAGTTAAATTGCATATAGAACATCCCACTCCCACTTGTACTGTAAAACACTCAAATCATAAGTACAATGCATACAGACTTCCGATAAATGAAATTTTCTTTTTGTTACATAGGCAAACATAATCTAACAAGCAAAGCATATACTCCCTCCATTCCTAAATACAAGTCTTTTAAGAAATTCCACTATAGACTTACATACGGAGCAAAATGAGTGAACCTATATACTCTAAAAGGTGTCTATATACATCTGAATGTAGTCTTTATAGTGGGATCTCTAAAAAGACTTATATTTAGGAACGGAGGGAGCATATATGTATGTCAAATATGAAAACAGAAGCAACTTATTCAAGTATAACAACTTTTTTATAAATAGGCCCATCTTAAACCAAATGGTTTCTCTCGATACCACTCTCTAGGATGCCTCCAGAATTGAAAGACTAGGATGCCTCCAGAATTGAAAGACTAGGATACCTCCAGAATTGAAAGACTAGGATGCCTCCAGAATTGAAATATTAACATTAAAACGTTTCGTCAAATATACACAGCCGTTTATATCCCACTCCAGCTCCCTCCCTAGTCTTCCACCATTTACACAATAGGTGTTGCACCAGGCGGGAGTGTTAAGAATTCCTTCAGGAACTCTGGATCATCCATGCCCTGAAGAAAAAAAATGCACAGGCAAGGATTAACAATGAATCAAGTAACCAACATCATGTTACTACAAACGTACTATACGGCACATGATATACCACTACCTTGAACATATATCGTATGTTATCCTCCTCAGCTTTCTCCTGTAAAATAAGGGAAAAGGCTAAAAATTAATGACACAGCACCAAAAGAATTTAATGCTCACCAGGAAATAAAACACCATACATCCTCATCGTAGTCGATCCAGTCTCCACTACAACATCCAGATGGCAATTCCAAGTGACCAGCAGTGTATGCAGCAGCATTGTTGGGGTGCTTCATACGAATACTTCCATTATTTACACAACCATAGCAGTGGCCTTTATAAGTTACAAAAGAGGGGGAATCGTTTAACTGCCAAATAACCAACCAGGAACAAAAACAATAATAATAGATAGTTGAAGGTAAAAAAAACTGTGCATGAACCAGTTTAAGATATTGCAAATGTGAAGCTCAAGGATAATGGATGAGATGAAAGATAACATGATACAAGCAGAAAACGAAGAGGTAAATACATTAAAGATGATATACCACAACCAGAAACACATTTGCACGTATATCTTCCAGGACTGTGGCCAGAAAATGTAGTTTAACAATATCAATTAAGATGGAAGTATATCATACCATTATCATTAGGTTTAACCATACAGAAACAGCTGACAACCAATTTTTCATCTTCTTCATTCACAAATTTGACTTCGACTTCGACAAAGAATAGATTGTTGGTGCCACATCCAAAAGCATCAGCTCTTTTAGTCTTCGTAGTGAAATTGAAATGATAGTACCCCTGGCCCTCGGAGATATATTGGTACTTCATAACATCTTTCAGTTCATGTGCTAGATCCTAAAATAACACCATCGGTCAGATCAGCAACTGTGACATGATAATCTGTAGTAGGACAGAGAGTGAGGTTGGGAGGGAGAGCAAGCTAACCCCAAAACGGTTGTGATCATCATTATACTTGTCCACTAAAGCTTGAACTAATAAACGCATTTCACTATGGCTTTCTTCGATCATTTGTGATTTTGGGCCGTTCCTCCTACTGCCATCAGGCCAGTACATAGCCTCTCGTATAGCAATGTCCATTAGAGAAACCCCATCTTGCTCCTTGAACCTAATTCAGATCAGAGCATTTATACAGTTAGTAGATTGTACTTTCTCACAAGGGGGGATAATACAAAGTGATAAACTGATAATAAAGGACTTTGCTAATGAACCAGCCCAACGCATGGTTAGGGTGAATCAGTTTCATGGATAGGGGCCAAACAGCTACCAAGTTGCTTCTAACACAGCTCAAGGTAGCAATCAAAAGCAAAATTGATGTGCTTACAGCTATAAGTTCCCAAAATGCATATAACTCTTAAAAATAGGTATCCATCTTTCATTAAGATTCACAACTCAGTGTGCTCTTATTGTACTGTTTGAACGATTAACAGAACTTGTTTGGTCTCGCTACAACAATATTTAGTGCATGGGGCAGCAGAGTTACCATCTACATTTACTTTGTTAATTTTGAGACAGGCTTATGATTTATGCTCTATTAATTTTAACAACTCTCTTACATATAGAAGTTACTTAAGTGGTTTCAGAACAGGAATTAAAAAACACAAGCAAGTAACCTTTTCAAACTTGTCAGTTTTCTAGTCTAGCTTAGGGACATGCAGTCTTTTCCTGATCAGTGTTGTACAAATTGTGATTAGGTTTTGTTGCCTATATACACCATAAAAGCATGTACTGTGTAACCATGTTAGGATATAATAATAAGCTGCAAGTGTGCACACAACACACTTGAAAGTAAATAATGAAAAATCCATAACAAAGTTGGGAGCTGAGAAACTTCACATTGTTGGATGCCGGCGGTCCTCAAGATAGCGTTCAATAGCATCGTGAACTTCTTGCAATTTCCTAAATGGCCCACCCACATGAGGATATGTATGGAAAGACCCCCTGCGATCAATTCTGATATAGAAGGTCATCGGCCAATCAGTAGGTGTCCGAGCCAGAATTGGCGACCCAAGAGTCGAGGATTCCATAAATGTTGTAGTGCTCAGCAACTTATTTAAGTGCGAGACAGATGGTTCTCGTCGCAACTGTGCAGGTCCATGTTCCTGACACCTGAATTAAGTGGAACAATTGAGCAGGGTCAATAAGTAGAAGCAAGATCAATTATCTTATTTAAGTTTGTTTTGCTTTCTGAAAAGAAAAAGGTTGATGGATGCCACCAGCAAGCAACTTGCAATCTACCATACAGAAATTCAAGTGAAATTCATAGGGATGCAGATAAACTAGAACCATCCCTCACTAGCGCAACCCCCAAGCAATCGACAAACAAACAATTCAATCCGCGCCTTTTCTGTCAGACAGTCTGCTAGATCAGAAGTAGAAAACGAGTGACGAAGCGAGTAGACATACGGTGCAGAGCCCAGCCGACGGCGGGAGCGTCCTTCGGAGCGGCCAGGGCGGGAGAGGCATATGGTCGGCGCTGCCGCAGGCGTGGCCGGCGCGGCCAGACGCAGAGACTCCCCATAACGGCCTGCCCATGGCACGGGTCTGTGGTGCGCCGTCCCGGGCAAATTGATCCTGACGCTGCTCCGCAGGTAGGCTGGGCCGGCCGTGGCGTCCGCGACTTCCAGAGGGCGGCATGGGAGACGACGGGGACGAGGATTAGGGTTTCGTTGGAAGGCGAGAGAGGAGGCAAAAAAGAAAAGTGCAAGGAAAACGTCCCGCGTTCGAGCGATGGAACCCTCGTTTAGTTGGCGGGGCGCGTCACCTTTGCTTAATTACTTGTCTCCCGCGGCCCCGCCATCTTTTTCTCTAAACTAGATAATACCCAGGACGTTGCTGCGGTATTCATAGTGCAAGCAATATGAATTAAATATTAATAAATATAATTTAAATACAATATCAAGAATAGATGTACATGTATGTATATTAGCTAATCATATAAGTTCACTATTAGAAGAAATATGAATAGAGGTAGAAATGTTTGTATTTAATAAAAAAAGCACAAGCTGGTAACTTTGGTTATGTTAGGTTTAATACTGAGACAACATATGGAAATTTAATCAATGTGTCAAATGACTTAGATGATTATCTGAGCACAACAAAAAAGAGAAATACATGATAGTACATATATATAAGCTGACGAACATAATTCCATGTTTAGATATATCTAGCAATCAGGTGTCTTCCCTCTGCATACTTCGTTGAAATGCTCAGATAATCATGTGAAAGAAAATAGCCACCTCAGCTCTAAATTAGGTCTGCAGGAACAAAAATATACATCAAGTCTAAATGGGATCTGTAAGAAATTCATGAATTACATGAGTTGACCCAATGCAGTTAAGATTCAGAATGACAGGTGCATGTGTTAGAATTAAAGTTCAGATTTTTTTTGGGTGGGGGTTCTGATCTGGACTAACCTGATACATGAGAGCATTCCGGATTCGTCTCATTTAGCTTCATGCGCTAACAGCACGCTATGAGGTTGGGACCTGCCAGCATGTTGACTTCCATATGGTGGAACTTACAAATCAAAAACTAAACTCATGTTGGAGATAGGTGCCAGTGTCATAGAGAAGCTGGAAAAGACGAAAGGGGTGGCTCACCGATAGCTGTTGAGATTAAGAATGGAGCACAGGCACATCCACCCAGGTATAGCCTCAGTTGATTAATGCTGAGAGCAGCTCGCCTCCTTTAGTTTCTCTTGCCTGCAGAATACATGAAAGGCAGAAGGAAGACCACCGTTCCTATCATTACCGTACTCTGAAGTTTTTCATCCTTACGTGCAAACCCATCGTCGATACAAAAAGTTGCCCTGGATGGCTTCCCTTCCCAGTTGCAGGAACTATGCTTGGAAAAAAGGCTACCATTGCTGCAGTAATCAGCTTCGATAGCACACCGTTGAACCCTCACTGGAAGGGGTGGGTGCAGAGCTCCTCCAAACATCGCTGTCAATAGAGGCTTGTCCGGTCATTCTAGGCCAGGCCAGGTCCGGACACCAATCTCCCAAGCGACCAATCAAACATTACATAACTATCTTGGTAAGTCGATTGAACCAACCTCACAAGCAGTGCCAGAGCGGACACCAATCTCCCAAACGCTCATTGAACCAACCTCAGAAGCAGCGACGGAGCTATCTTGGCCGGAACAGAGGCAGAGATGGACGGGACGGCCAAGCACCACAGACGTCGGCTCGACGATGCAGGGCACCACACCAGCAACGTGAACGTAACCTGATAGAATATCGAAGAGCCGTGGAGGCCAGCCGGACCGGCGATCGTGCCGTAGAAGATCGGCACCCATCCGTTGTCGCGCCGGTCGCCGCTGTAGGCAGAGGAAAAGATTGGTATTTGAGGGACTGAGGGGTCGTTGGTTAATGAGCCCGTGATTTATGGCCGGAAACGGGCGAAGGTGAATAGAGGGTCGTGTGTTTGTTTCGTTGTAGAGGAGTTTGTTGTTTACGGCCTAGATGGCACATACTGCTTGTGTTGGGAGTCAATCGTGAGGTGCAGTTGCAAAACTGCTTGGGCTTCCGATTAATTCGTGCACACGAGCGATGGAAGGGTGTGGGATGGTAGCAGTCCTCGATCCGTTTTGTACGCTGGTAATGGCAGGGTGACATGGCATAATGCATGTTAAGAATTAGACTTATGTGAACGCTGACGTGGCATGAAGCTGATGTGGATAGTGCGCATGTTGAGAGAATTGGTTGAAGTGGGGAGCAACTTCTTAAGAATGTAAGATAAACTCCTCCGGCAGCGTGCTGACCTAGCGCGTACGGGAAGGTTTACAGGAAGAGCAATTGGACAGATTATATACGGATACGAAGTCCTCTAAACCAAAAATATTCCCAAAATGTGTGGCACGAAACAACTTGGACCGAGGAACCGCCGCTCGCCGAACGCCCACTCGCCACTATGATCATGCTCACCGGTTATATTGCCGGTAGCCGTTTTCTCCCCCACCCGCATTCACTCGTGTTCCCCACCAACATTCAACTCCAGTTCTCCTCCCTCTTCGTGGCAGGCGGTTCAACGACGAGGCGATTCCGCGGCGACTCCCCGACAAAACCATGGCGGAGATCGCAGAGGCATGTTCCCGTCGCCGAGAGTCCATGCAGCCGCTCCATTGCGTCGACCTTGTAGCCACGCAAAGGTAACCATGCGAATCCCTCATTGCTCCCCCTGCTATATGATTCCGCGGTGATTCCTTGGCGAATCCATGGTGAAAGGGTACGGGAGGTCGTTTTCCGTCGCGAGGGAGTCCTGCTACTTGTGATAGGCGTTGTGATTTCCCCGAAGAGGAATGATGATGTAGTATAATAGTAGATAATATTTTCCTACTGTTTTACTATGTTTTGGATTGTTATTTCACTTTATGACACAATTCTAATGCCTTTTCTATCTTAATTTGCAATTTTTACATGAAGGGGCAGATACATGAAGGGGTAGATTGCTGGCAGCTCGAATTCTAGACCGGAAAAGGCTACAGCAAAGATAGCTATTCTGTACAATTTCAAATGACATGATTTTTTTGTTTTGAAATATATAAAAAATATTGGCGGAAGAAATACCAGGAGGGGGCCACCAGAAAGTCACGAGCTCAGGGGCGCACTATGTGAGCTCGTGGCTTCACCAGCAGGCCTCTAGGGCCCATCTTGTCCTATCTGATGCTATTTGCCCTAGAAAAAAATCAGGAAAAAAACTTTCGGCACGAAGCGCCGCCGACTCGAGGTGGAACCTGGGCAGGAGCATTTTTGCTCTCCCGCAAAGCGATTCTGCCAGGAAAACTTCCCCCCGGGAGGGGGAAATCGAAGCCATTGACATCACCAACGATCTTCTCATTGTGGGAGGACCAATCTTTATCAGCATCTTCACCGGCACCATCTCATCTCAAACCTAGTTCATCTCTTGTATTCAATCTTTGTCCCAAAACCCCATATTTGTACCTGTGAGTTGCTAGTAGTGTTGACTACTCCTTGTAGTTGATGCTAGATAGTTTATTTGGTGGAAGATTAAATGTTCAGATCCTTAATGATATTCAATACCCCTATGATCTTGAACATGAATATGATTTGTGAGTAGTTACTTTTGTTCTTGAGGACATGTGAGAAATCTTGATACAAGTAATCATGTGAATTTGGCATTCGTTTGATATTTTGATGATATGCATGTTGTTGCTTCCTTTAGTAGTGTCATGTGAACGTTGACTACATGACACTTCACTATACTTGGGCCTAAGAGAAGGCATTGTGGGGTAATAAGTAGATTATGGTTTGCTAGAGTGACAGAAGCTTAAACCCTAGTTTATGCCTTATTCGAAAGGGGCTGATTTGGATCCATATGTTTCATGCTATGGCTAGATTTATCTTAATTCTTCTTTCGTAGTTGTGGATGCTTGCGAGAGGGGGTAATCATAAGAGGGTTGCTTGTTCAAGTAAGAACAACACCCTAGCTCCCATCCACCCACATGTCAAATTATCAAAGTAGAACCCGAATCAACTAAACACGAAGAAAGTGATTAGACGATAATTCCCATTTGTCCTCGAGAACACTTTGCTTTATATAAGAGAACATTCGGGCTTGTCCTTTGATATAAAAAGGATTTGGCCACCTTGTTGCACATTGTTACCTTTGTTACTTGCTACTTGTTATGAATTATCTTGCTACAAAACTATCTGTCGCTGCTACTTTTAGTGCTTGCAAAAAATACCTTGCTGAAAACCACTTGTCATTTTCCTCTGCTCCTCGTTGGATTTGACACTCTTAATTATCAAAAGGACTACGGTTGTGTCGGTGTTCTGGGATCGAGGGTATCCAGATCTACCTGCATGCGGCCCAACGCATGGGTCCATCGACGACCCGGTACAGCCCAGCGGCAAGCCCCCCAAGACAAGACCCTCGCGAGGACCCCCGGCCTCGCGAGGCGGATGACATCAAGACCTCCAGAGGAGCGGCCTCCCCAGGCTGCCTCCTGAGGAGCGGAGATTTCTATGCAGGCAACCAGCCTCACGAGGTTGCGATGATGTGAG